CCAAAGCTTTCTCTTCTCTTCAAGAACACACAAGAACTCTCAAAGGCTCTCATATGCACTCACAAGCTCTAAAACGAGGGTTAGGGAACACTTAGGGTTTGTTGTCTAAGAATGGTGGCCAGAAATGAGGCCATCATATCCTTTATATAGGGGACTCACCCTAAACTAGGGTTTTCACTCTAGGCCTAATACGACCAACGTACCCTCTGGTATGCCCAACGTACTAGGTGGCTTTCCGCGTCAAATGCACGCTTATGAGTATACTGACCGTACACTCTTGTACGCCTTGCGTACTCATTCGCCACCTTTTCTCAATAAAGGGCTAAAATGGAAAAGTGCTCAAAGATCAAGGGTTACAAGGTATACCTGGACCTGGGATGTTACAACATTGACTTTGCCGAGGGTGTTGACCTTGACGTTGACTTTGACCAATGTTGACCCTAATGGGATTATGAGTATGAAAAGGGTAATTGAAGGAAAGGTTTATGCGTAGACGGTTGAGTGGATCGCTTTCAAAGCAGAGGACAGTTCAGCAACTACCCAACATTTGAGGTGAGTTACCTTCCAGTAGAGGTGGGTCTAAGGCACCAATGTCGGCCCACCAGTAGGTGATTATGTTTGAGATGATTGTCTTTGTGATAATTGTTTGGTTGCCACTATCTGGTATGCTCTATGTGCTAGGATGCTATCATATATGTGTTAGTAGTAGGAGGGGTGGAATAGTCCCCTGATACCGGCCGAACGATACCGAAGGGGTAGACAGTACTCATGCATTCCTAGCAGTATGTTCATGATATGTTATTATGTGGTAGTGGTAGGGGTGAAATAGTTCCCGCAACCGGTTGAGATAAACCGGAGAGGTAGGTCGGACACCCTGGTATGTCTGACAGGGGTAGGTTGAGCACCCTGGTATGCTCAGCAGGGTAGGTCGGGCACCTAGATATGCTTGGCAGGGGTAGGTCGGGCACCCCGGTATGCCTGACAGTATGTTATTTATATGGTATGTGGTATGATGGGGGAACTCACTAAGCTTCGTGCTTACGGTTTACAGTTTTGGTTTCAGGTACATCTTCCTCGAGGGGAAAGGAGCCGACTTGACTGCAGCGCGTCACAACACCGTTTTTCCACATTATAATTTCTCTTGGGATTGCACTCTGACATTATTATGATCTGCGTTAAGACACATGACTTACCGATTTTATGATATATGATATGCTGATGACATTTTCCATGATCTATTATTATGAATCTATTAACTTAAAAATGAAATTTTTGGTCCGGATTTTGGGATGTTACATGCACCCTATTGAAAGTTGGGTTCCTTCAATTTAAATATTTAAATCAGGATTATGAGCCAAGAACTGAAGCACCCACAATTTCAATTTGAAACCCAATTGAAGATACAGAAAAGAGCAATACATTCAAAAAGTACAAACTTTTAATACAGTTAACAAAAATGATAGAAAAATCATTAACTCAAACTCATATCTCCACACAAAAAATCGAGAACACAGAAATTATAGAGAGAAAAAATCAAAACACCATGAAGCAAAACCTAAGAAATCATGAAGAAACTCAAAAAACGATAATTTTGACCTAAAATTGTAACGCTCGGTTCCCAGGTAAATTCATTAAAACCTAAATGTTTTTTTTGTTCATTGTGTATTTACGTTATGCTTAAATAAGGTACACAGGGCGTACCTTGTCAGCCTTGGACATGGGGCTAACCCTCCTGGTTTGTTGGGCATATCTAGAGTACACTAGGTGTACTTGAGCATGAGACAAACCCTAAATTTTAGGGTTTGGACCCTATTTAAACACTTTATAACCCCACCCTAACACCTCTATTATAACCAGCCTCCTTCGTCCCGAAGCAACTTCTAAAAAACCCTAACCCCTTTTTAGAGGAAATTGAGTCTTGTGTGTGTTTTGGTGTGTGTTGGGTGCATCTTGAAAAATAAGAGATCATTAAGGGATGATTAGTTTTCTTGGAGCTTGAAGGTTCATCACTCTCTTCACCTTTGCAAGCTTCTGTAGGTATAAAGCTTCAAACTTTATGACTCCTTAGCTTAGATCTAGATTTGGGATTATGTTTGGTATGCTTTTTGTCCCTTTGTTTGTTTTTTGTAAGTATAAGTTACTCTAGAACTTGTGTTGGTCATTTCCTGGTATTTCTGGAGTTGTAGAATCAGAAAAATGGCATCTTGATGGGTTAAGCTCAACCATTCATGAGTTGATGGTCTTAATATGAAGCTAGATGTTAGAAATGCAAGTTGGGCCTCTTTGAGCCATGCACAAGCATCAAGTTGATGACTTTATCATTTAATACATTTCCCAAGATGGACTTTTGGGCCTTAGGTCTTTTGGCAATCAGGGGCATACATTAAGCGTATATAGGCGTACGCTCAGTGTAACGTGTTATAGTCCCATTTCCTTTGCTTTGAAAACTTCTACATTGGGCATAACAAGGTGTTACATCGAGCATACTCACCAGATGGACTTTTGGGCCTTAGGTCTTTTGGTCCATTCTTAGGGCTTAGGTCTTTTGGTCCATTCTTGGGACTTAGTTCTTTTGGGCCATTAGTAGGCATTAGGTCATGGCTTGTTGGGCATATAGTAGGAAGGATAAAAGGGACTTTTACCCTTTGCAATAGGAATTATGATTTGGACTTTCATTTGTTACCCTAAATAGTGATTAGGGTTGGTTTTAATATGTTCAGTGTGAGGAGTCGTGGTAGCAGCAACCATAGAGTGTGATTTGTGCATCTTCAGACTGGGGTGAGTTTCCTCACTGTATTTGTGGATCTAAGGCACTAATGTCGGCGCATTAGATTATGTTGTAGAATGGTAGTGATTTTCGTTACACTTATGGATATGTCTGTATGTGGTTGTTGTCTTTGTGACTCTTTCTAGTATGAATGTACGTTTAGCTGTAGGGGTGAAATAGACTCGTACTGGTTGAAATATATCGAAGGAGTCAGAAGGGACTCAGAGAGTTAGAAGGGACTCAGGGGTGAAATGGATACGTTGTACGTTGTATGCTATGTATGATATGTATATATGATGTATGGTATGTGGTATGTGGTATTTGATGAACTCACTAAGATTTGTGCTTACGATTTATGTTTATGTTTTAGGTACTTCTGGTTCAAAAGGAAAGGGCATGGCCTGATTGCAGCTTATCCACCCATGTTTCCGCAATTTTTAAGATTTTGGGATTTGTACTCGGATACTATTTTTACACTGGCATACTTTGATGGTTGTTTGAGATATTTGATGAATTTTGGTTGATTTAAAAAAATGAAATTTGTACTTATATTTTTGGAATATTTCAAAAACCCCTAAAATGCAAGACAACAAGAAATGGTAGAAAAAAGAAAAGCAAAACGAAGACTCCTTGTTACTGTTTTCTTACCATTAAAGTCTTGAGTGGAGAAAAAGGCCCACCGGAGAGCATGAATACAAGTAGAAGAGTGTTGTGTTCTAAATGACATAAAGGGAATCAGTCACCATTTGTTAGAAATAAAGATAGATTAGTGAGTATGCATATGGAAGAAGAAGAAGAAGATGATGATAGTAATGGTAATGGTGGCCTCTCAAATTAACATAAAATAAAGGGAATCAGTCACCATTTGTTAGAAGGATGCACCCTTATTTTGGTGTATTTCATTAGTGTTTAGTATAGAGAGAGATTTGTAGGGTTGTATGTGTGTGTGTGTGTGAGAGAGAGAGAGAGAGAAAGACCCTCAATTTTTTTAATAAAATTTAAAATTAAATAGAAAAAACATAAAATGCGTATCAAAAGGACATTTAGTCTTTCCAGTTTTACGAGGAACCAAAATCACAAGCAAACATTGTGAAAATGACAACCAATTCGAAAAAGTTAGTGTTTAGATTAAAACCTAGAAAACTTGTATATCATAGGGATCATTTTTGCAGTTTTGTCTAAAAACAATTCCTATGTGATAAAATCAAATATATTATACATGGCTTTAACATCTAGTTAGGCTTTTAATTAGTCGGTCGTTCTAACAAGAAGCATTTATAAGGTTACATAGAAAATATAAAAGAAATGATGATAATAATAAAAAATAACAAATAATAAAAACTTTTAAAGTATAAAAATAGCTCTTCTTTCTAAATATAAAAGTAGAAACAAAACCAAGAAGGTACACCGGTTCTTTTTGACTTTTTACATAATTAAATGCTAAAAGCATAAAATATAAATGACATTGTAGTATTTTTAGTTTTCTGGACCAAAATAACAAGTAAACATGATCAAAAGGACCATTAATTCGAAAAGTTGGGGTTTAGACTAAATTCCAAAAAAATTGCATAGTAAAGGGATAATTTTTGGCTTTTTGCAGTTTTGTCTATAAAAAAATTCCTAGTGATAAAATTAAATATATTATGCATGACCTTAACATCTAATTAGGTTTTTAATTAGTTGGCGGTTCTAACAAAAAGTATTTATAAGTTTACATAAAACAAAAAAAGGAATGATTATTAAAAAAAAAAACTTTTAAAGTATAAAAATAGTCCACCTTTCTAAGCCTACAAGTAAAAACAGAACCAATAAGGCCATCTCCAATAGATTAAACTCATGGAGAGTTGTATGGATTGCCAAGTAGAAAAGAGAATATACACATTCACTTTAATTCTTAAAAAATTCATAAATTTTCAATTAGAATTCCATTGCACCGTTCAATAGTCATTCAACTCCACACTCTCTTTCCTCTATATTATATTCACATTTATTCCATTAAACTCTCATACAACTCCCATTGAGGATGACCTAAGGTCCACCGGTTCTTTTTGACGTTTTACAAAATCAAACACCAGAAGACAGACGGTCCATCAGTGCCCAAATTAATTTCATAATCAACGTTTCAACGCTCCATGTGCCAGATGATGGTATCTTAAATATTCTTTTCATGCTTGTGTCTCCCTTTATATAATCCCCTACAAATTCATATACTGAACAACCTCCAGAAACCAAAATGTCAGACTACTTGTCTTTTGAACTTCAAGTGGAAATCATTAAAAGACTTCCAGTTAAGCCATTGCTTCAATTCAGATCTGTCTCAAAACGATGGAAGACTTTGGTCGACAATTCTAAGTTTATTGCTACTCACACCGTTGGCCAGACTCAACTGAACCACTTCTTGTATGGTATGAAGATTGCTATGTAGATCTTGGAAAGACTGGGAAAAAAATTGTTTCATTTGTTGATGATGAAACAAATTGCCTCCATGTAGATCTTGGAAAGATTGGGCAGTTGAAGTTTATACATTAAGCACAGGTAGTTGGAGAATTCCTACAAGAAAATTGCCTGATAAACCGGTTACAGTTAGATGGAATCCGGTTGTTATAGATAAGTTTATTTATTGGTTTGCTTTTCATGGGATTGAGGAATATGTTAAATATGGGTAGATGCAAATAAGCTGATTTTGTCATTTGATATGACTACTCAAGAATTTACTCTGATAGACTTACCAAACTGTTTTGCACATCAATCTTCCATGGAAATTTCCATTTCTAAGTTAAAGGGGTCACTTGTGCTGCTTGAATACGGTACAAACAATGAGAAACAAGACTGTGTCATATGGGTGATGAATAATGGTGTTCCGAACTTGTTTTCAAAGTTGTGTGCCATTAACGCACCATATGCATCTATAAAGATTTTGGCATTTATAAAGAATGGTGGTCCAATGATGGAAAAACAATATGAATTTGGAGAACCAGCTGCATTTGTATTCTATGATCTTTGTTCAAAAGACTTCAATCATACAGCTATTTATGCAAAAGGTGGTTCATTTTTTGTTGACTCATACATGGAAACCCTGCTTTTGCTTGATCACCCAGATTCAAGTGCTTTTCTATCACTAACCGAAGACAAGCCGGTGGCTGCATTGAAAAAGCTGGAGCAAATAAGCAATTCGTTTATGAGCAGCCGAGAAAGATAATACATAAAGTATTCTATTTCAGGAGGAAGAATCCCAGCTTCTAAACTAGTAGTAACCGTTTTCTTTTTTGGTACCCTTTTGTGTTAATGTTGAAGTTAAATTCCATGTTTTAATTCATATGGGTTACCATGCATCGATGTGACAATTCTACAATAAATCCAACTTAATATTTTATATATGATCTTACAGTTCAGAAGTTTATATGCAACTTCATAGTTTCTACCTGTTCGTTCTTCCGTTCACAGATCCACCATCCTTTTGTTAACCCTTTTGTTAACGTACCTTATGCCCACCACTAACTAATATAGTGGTGGGTGCTACATCTTCACCACTAACCGCCACTAAACATATGGGATACCTACCACTAAAAAGATCACTCCATCTGATTTTTTTAATTATATTTAAATGAAAAATACAGAAAAATCACATATTTTTTTGAATTCTAGTTTTTCATTAATTTAAAATACCAAATTACATTAAATAAAACTATATTAATTAAGATAAAAAAATAAAAATAACATTAAAAATAAAAATTATAGTAATTAAAATAAAAAAATTAAAAATAACATTAAAAAATAAAAACCTAAAAATACCAAACTTCTGATTTGTGTTTTAAGCAAGATTATTCCATTTTAGGGAATCCTTCAACTTTTTCCAAGCTTTGACATGTCCAAAACGTTTATGATTTGTGTTTTCATATTGCTCCATAGCCAAATTAACTGGATCGATATCTGCTTCGTGTACGTTATTTATAACAAAGTTATAAATTTCATTGAACTCAGAACATTTGAACCTCGTATCGTGGCACTTCGAGCATATTTCATCAACATTTCGAATTGCAGAACTCATTAAATCATCAAAAACACTTTCAACATTTCTCCAAAAATAAGCAGAAGTTTGAGCAACGCCTTCTTCCGAAACCGTCATCCATGCTTGTGCTAATTTCTCTTCTTCCTCTTCTGACCATTTCTTACTTTTGGGGGGCATGGTTTTTAAAAGATCAAACAACAAAAATGGATGTTGACTAAAGGGAGAAGAAATGTGTGAAATTTAAGAAGATGAGTGGTAATATTTGTAGGTAAATATTGAAGGAAAAAAATAAATTGAAAGTAGCCGTTATAGTAGGTCAAACGAGGTTTAAAGGAAGAAATGAATTGATTGGGCGTTTGAAATCATTGTCCGGAGCACGAAGGGCCACAACCACGACTCACCACGAGCCACCGGGATTGTGTGCACGGTCGTGGTTCGTGGCCACCTAGACCACGACCTAGTTTGTGGCCACCATACCGGAAGGTCTTATGCTAATCTTGTAGATGATTGAGTGTTGTGTTTGTTTTCTCCATTAGGTTTGTTGCAATTTTCTGATAAAAAATCTTTCATATATACATATTTTTGCTCTTAGCGTTGTTGCTAACTTGTTATGTTGATTATAGTAGGTGTAAAACATGTATACTACACCGGTTTATTAAAATTAAAAGTTTAATATAAAATTGTAAGCATTACATATTTTTTAAACTAATACTTTTATATAAATAAAAATGATATAATGAATAAAGTAACTAATTAAATATATTCTAGCTAGGAGATTTGAAATAGGAAGGAAAGAAAATGGTTGCTGAGCATTTATTCAAAAATTTAATAGAATGATTCACCTTACATATATAAACCTTTAGTAAATTGTGGATTTTAAGTTTAAGAAAACGAAAAATACAAGAAAATGACAAGTGGAAAAATAATAATTAAAAACAAAATCTCAGAAAATGACATGTGTCAAATTCAATAAGAACATGACATTTGGCAAAAATGATTTTCATTAATTAGGTTAGATATATTTGACTTTTTGCTTATAATGCCTCTAGCTTTTTACAGACTGTGTGCCTAAAATAATAAATAAGGAAAATGACACAAACAACTTACGAAGTTTTTATGTTTAGTCTATTTAATCCCTAAAATATTTTGGTTGCTTTATGGGGTATAAAGTGAGTCATGACCTCTTTCAGTCCCTTTCACCTCTAACCACCGGTACAGATAGCCACATGTAAAATCTTAACACAAGTCAACAATAACATGACATTTACTAATTACGTGGCAACCTTCTTGGAAAGATAAATTATTTCTTGAAGCTTATTCATTTGTTCTTCAACATAACATTCACATATCATCATATTTCCTATTCATCCATTCTCACTGTCGATCTACATATATATTTATTCTTAATAATAGATTTATCTTAAATTTTTTATTATCATCACCGATTTCAGTTGTTGGTTTAATTTATTTACTGGCGACGAATTTTAGGGTTTTTCTTCATCATCGTGCTCTTCACTCTACCATGTTTGATCCGAAAATCATTTAGTTTTTTTTTACTGTAGTTGTTCTTGGTGTTGTAAAGGTGGATTTAAAATTGAAGGATTTGCGAGTTTTGTTGGTTTTCGGTAAGATGAAGATGTATCGAAACTGGAAATTTCGGTTGGATAACAATTCAAAATTAAGTGACATTTTTTATGGGTTTCATCAAGTGACAAATTTTCATAATGATTGTTTTAGATGGTAGTTTATGTTTAAGTCATGGATTTGAATATGGGTAAATGATCAAATTTGTTGTCAATGGGTTTGAATGATATATGGGTTTACAGATATCGACAAGTTGGGTTATGTAGCCTGCACCTTTTTCGAACTTCCATTTTATTTTGCAAATCTTCGATTTCCATCCATGATGAACGCGATGTGTTATGGGATTGGACCATATGAAATCACTCTAAAACAAGAATCGTGCTTTGAATCTGGGTAAATGATCAAATTTGGGTTGTCAATGGGTTTGAACGATATATGGGTTTACAGATATCGACAAAGTTGGTGTATGTGGCCTGCACCTTTTTCAAGCTTCCATTTTATTTTGCAAATATTCGATTTCCATCCATGATGAACGCGATGTTGTATGGTTTGAATTATGTAGTGAGGTTTCGAAGTACATTTAGGCCTGGGTAGTGTCGAATGTCGAGGTCATGTATTTCGAATGTACGTATTACATAAAGCATTTTAGAGGTCGAAGCTTTAAGGTTCAACTCTTATGTTTTTTTGTATGTGTCTGTATCTCCCTATAAATAGGGAAAGTATAGGAGTCGAGAGTACTTTTTGAGAGCTTGAGTGCTTGTACTCTTTAGTGTTCATGTACTCTTTTAGACATAATCAAAGTGCCAAACAGATTCTATGTACATCTTTGATCTTAATGCTTTCAGTTCTTGATTTCATTCATAATACCTAATTCAAATGAACTTCGTTTGGTATCATAGCAGGATACAATCATTCAATTCTAGTTTTCTCATTTTTTTTTCAAAAGTTTTGAGTCGTTCTTTCTGATTCAAAAGATTTCTACACTTTTGATTAAGAAAACTAGTTTTATTTGAGTGATTTGTTACCATTCTGTCAAATCGTTTGATTCTTCGAGTGTTTTCTGAAAAATTTCTAGAATATTTATCCGATAGATCTCCTTTTTCTAAAGATGTAACATCCGGATTTTTCAGGGATATTATTGTGAATGGTAATCTTGAGATTGAAGGAGAGACTCGGCGAGTTGAGGGTCCAACTCGCCGATTCGAGTCGAGTTGCTCACGTAGATTTAATGAGTGGACTCGACGTGTCAGAGGAGGGACTCGCCGAGTAGGTGTTGGGCAGAGAAACCTAATTTACCGGGTTTGGGACCTATTTAAAGGCACTTATAGACTCATTTGCAGCTACCTTCCCCTGAGAGCAAACCCTAATTGCTAGAGAGTGAGAGAGAAGCTCATATTGTGGTTCTTGTGCATCATTTGAGGAAGAGGAGGAGGTTATCAAGCAGGGAGCTGGAGGTGAGGCTGTTGGATCCAAAGATTTCCTGTCCAGAGCTCCTGAGAAAGGTAAGAAGTCTTTACCTTTCTTCTTATTTTGGATAGATCTCATATGTATGGAGTTTTAGGGCTTTTTGCCATCTTTTGTTTGGGTTTTTGAGTAGCATGAGTTATTAAGAAGTCTGGACCTCAGATTTGGACCTTGTGAGGTCCTTAGAGTCTAGGTGTCCCAGCTTTATTCATCCACATGAGGGTTTTTGGGCTTAATCATTCATGAAGGGCATGTATTAGCATTTTGGAGCAATATCATCATGCATGAACGTAAAGATTGAAGCTTTACGTGACTATTGAGCCTTGAGAGGACAGATCTAGTGTTTGGAGTGATAGATCTGTTTTAAATCGTCTGAATGAGCTTTGGGTCTGAATGAACTCGCCGAGTCAATGAGCCAACTTAACGAGTCGATTAGGGTTTTGTCCCGTAGAGCTGAATCATGCGATCACTCGGGGAGTTGGGAGTCAACTCGACGAGCTGAGTCAACCTTCACGAGATTTATGTGGAAAACGATGGGACTCGACGAGTCACAAGGGTGTACTCGGCGAGTCGGGTTAAACATGGACTGTTGACTCGAGTTTGACTTCTGTTGACTTTGGGATTTTGGTCAACATGGGTAATAGAGACCATGGATGGGTAAAATGATCTTTTACCCACTTCAAAGATTTAGAGAGAGAAAGAATAGCCTTCGGTTATCTGAGTCGAGAAAAGAGTATTAATTAGAGATGTTCATCCTTGTGTTAGGCGGATGCTAGTTCGAGATCCGAGCGCGAGGTTATTTGCTCACCTGCTTGCAAGGTGAGTCTTCTCACCATACTTTATCTAGAGTGGTAGTTATGTGTGACTGGAGGGTCTTATGTGCTTACATTGAGTATTATGTTATCCTGCCTTATGTTTTATGCTTTGCATTATGTGTTTGTGATTTATGTGTGACAACCGTAAAAATTCGAGTCGGTTCTAGATTTGACTAAACTTATTTGCACGTACAGGCACGACACATACTAGACTTAGTAACTAGAAGCTAAGTTATAACCTACTAGGAACTTGGAAACAATTAGAAACAATGGATAATGTACTTAGATTTCATATTGATATGTGAATTCTACAACTACTTAACTGTA